GTGACCTGAGCCAAAGATAGACGCTAGCCGACTGAGCCACCCAGATGCCCCTTCTACTTCATTTTTGAAAGGTATTTTTGCTGGGTGTGGCATTTGGAGTTGACAGATTTTTTTTTTTCTATATTGTATTGTCTTCTGGTTTGCATAGTTTCTGATAAGAATTGTTCTGTAATTCTCTCTCTCTTTGTCCCTTGTGTGTGTGTGTGTGTGTGTGTGTGTGTGTGTGTGTGTGTGTGTGTTGTGTCCTTCCCCCTCTCTCTGGCTATCTTCAAAATTTTCTCTTTATCTTGTATATTTTGCAGTTTCAATATAATGTGTCTAGCTATGTTTTTATTTTAACCTTTAATTAAAAAAACGAAGGAAAAACCCATAGAAAAATACTCATTCACCTAGAAACTGTTTTACCCCTTATCAGTAAGACACTTCATGTAATAAATGAAATGACTGAAGTGTGTGTGTGTGTGTGTGTGTGTGTGTGTGTGTGTGTGTGTATTTAAATTTGAGTATAGTTGACACACAATGTTACATTAATCTCAGGTTTACAACATAGTGACTTGACAGGTTTATACATCATGCTATGTTCACCACAAGTGTAGCTACAATCTGTCCTGATAAATTGCTATTACCTTTCTTATTCCTTATGTAGTGGCCTTTATTCCCATGACTTATTCATTCTGTACCTGGAAGTCTGTATCTCTCATTCCCCTTCACCCATTTTTCTCAACTTCCCACCCCCGCCCTGCTGGCAACCATCAGTTTGTTTGCTATATTTATAGGTCTGATTCTGCTTTTTGTTTGTTCATTTTTTTAAAGACTTAATTTTTTAATATATTTATATACATTTTTTGAGAGGTCGTGCACATGAGTGGGGGAGGGGCACAAGGAGAGTGGGGAGAGAATCTTAAACAGGGCTCAATCCCATGGCCATGGGATCATGACCTGAGCCAAAATCAAGAGTCCAATGCTCAACTGACTGAGCCACTCAGGAGCCCCTAAAGATTAAACTTATGAGTGAAATCATATGGTATTTGACTTTCTCAGTCTAGCTTATTTCACTTAGCATAACACTGTCCAGGTCCATCCATGTTGTAATATTCCATTGTATGTTGAAGGATATATTTTTTAAAGCATTAGAAGGGCCTTGTTTGTATACACTTTGTCATTGGTTATATTTTGTAGCTCACTAATGTCCTTCACTTTTAAACCCTTTTACTTTAATACATAATCAAAGAACTAGTTCCAAAAATTTACTCACACTTTCACAAAGAATAGTCATATATTATGGAATATTTAAAATTGATTTTTAACTTGAATATATACCTCTTGAATTTGTTTTATGTGCATGAAGAACCACTAGAAACACACAAAAGCTAACAAAACTTAGTGCATGGACATTTGGTAAAGGCAAACCTGGGGTCAGGATGGGGTAAGAGTTCTCAATGTATATTTGTATAATTTTAATTATGAACCATATGATCATACTACCAAGTGTAGGAAAAAACTCAATTTAAAAATTCTTCCCAAATTGCAATATTGGAGCTCATGTTTCCATTTGAACAGTTTAATTATTTGATTAGAGTCTCACTTATGATAAGCACTGAGCAATGCATAGAATTGTTGAATCACTATATGAATCACCTGAAACTAATATAACACTGTATGTTAACTATACTGGAATTAAAAGAAAAAAGAAAAAGAAAATATTCCCATTTTTAACCCCTTAAAGTTGCACTGTTTAAGAACTGCAGAGTGATGTCAGCAAAAATTATGGAGAAAGTAGTTCCAAGGGCCCAGCTTCCACAGAAACAACAATAAAAGGTCAAAAGCTCAGAATCAACTTCACTGGGATCCTGGAAGATGGCTAAAGATGTACAACCACCCAGTGAATGGTGAATTGAGAAAACAACTTGAAGATGGTAGGGGAGCTTTGTGGTATTTTACTTGCCCTTGCTTCACCCACCTCCCCTACTCAGCAATGGTCTTGATGGGGACAGCCTACACTCGCATCTGGTAGGAACCAGATCGTTGGCTTCAGAGGGACCAGAGCTAACTGTGTTCTCAAAGAATTGTGTTTTGTCTGTTCGGAATCATCTGGGGGCTACCTGAAGGACTGATGCCATGTCCTTGATTTTGTTCCGTCTATATTGGAACAAAAGATGAAAATTACAAGGGTTTCAGGAGCTCTATGAGAGGAATGGGGGGGGGGCAGAAACATATATATTTCTCTTATCTCACAACCCATTTCTCATCAGAAACCATGGAATCAGAAGGCAATGGATAACTCCTATATGATTTAAAACAAAAAAACATGAAACGACAATTATAAACCTATATTAATGGGGTATACAAGGTATAAAGATGTAATTTGTGATAACCTAAAGAGAAGAAGACAGATATATGGGAGCAGAGTCTTTTATACCATTGAAGCTAGGTTGGTATTAATTCAAAAGAAGTTGTAATACATTTAAGAGATTAACTGTAACCTCAGAGTAACTGCTAAGAAAATAACTAAAAGACATGAAAAAAATGAGAAGGAAATCATAAGGATACAAAAAAAATCAAACACAAGATATGGCATTAATGGAGGAACTGAGGAACAAAAATAGTAAGATGTATGTAAAACAAGTAGCAATATAGCAGAAGGAATCTTCTTAGGAATTAATTCAAATGTGAATTAAATTATGGATTATTAATGTGATGTCAATTAAGCTTCCCAATTAAAAGTAGAGTTTGGCGAAATGGGTAAGACAAGATCCAACTATATGCTGTCTACAAGCGACTCACTTTAGAATCAAAGAGCCTAGTGTCCTGCATTAACCTAAATGTAAATGTAATGTGATTACAATCACATATGAATAAAGGTCCAGGGAAACCCCACCTTTGTTGCCATGAACTTCCTTTCCTTGAAACCTCTGGATAGGTAGAGAATTTACTTTTAACAAATGAATAAACTTTCTTTCCTCCTTTCTCCCCCTACCCTCTTTTTCCTTTCTTTTTTTTCTTTTCTTTTCTTTTCT